CTTCTGGAGGAATGCTTCGAGCTCGCCTACGACCTGAGAAACGATGCCGAAGACAACAACAGCTCCGCTGATGTCACGCCATCGACCGAAAAGCCCGAGCCCCTTAGCACCTGATGTATTCTCTCTCTCTTATATTGGCGCTGTACATCTTGGCGTAAGACGATCGCTCCCAAACTGGCCACCCACATCTCTTCTGACCTGTCTTACTCCGGCGATTCTCTCTCTTGTGGCAAACACGTGTAGAACCCTTGTACTTTCTGTACTTCTAACTATTACTTAATATGGGTCAATCATTCGAAGCTGTTCAATTTCGTCTTCTGGTGGCGTTGGTGGTGGAACATCTGCATCCTTGAAGGTTAGGTGGCTTCCGTACGATATGCCTACAATTATTAGCGTCTTTGGCTATCAGCTTCGGCTCTCCCTCTTACAAAGCTCTTCGCCTGTGGCAATGTCTCTCAAAGCTCGATACGTGATGATTTGACGTCGAGTATCCCGCATCCATCCTACGTTTTGTTCCTGGGTCGAGTGATTGAACATGCTTCCCAATCCGAATATGATGGCTTGTGTGACCTTGCTGTTACCGTCCGTATCTACGATTGGCCAATTGCTAGCATGAGTCAGATTTTGGGTACTTCCAACCACCTCTAATAGATACTTTGATCAAATGTAAGGCCATCAACCTGCTATAACTGCCGATGCCCGCACATGCGTACGCATGCTATATGTCCAGAGGAGGTGGTAGCGCGATAATACAGCAGCTCAAAACAAAGAACTACGTACTAAGTGTAATGATAAAGCGAGGTCTGCTCTATGTGCTTCTTGTTTTCTTCTATTCCTAGGATCAATACAGGACATATGTCTATCGTGGTCCCCGATGGTATGTCCCTGGTAGCAAAAATACCACGCCCTACATGCTTTGTTAGTCATCCGCTACAACTGATCTGCCATCATCTCGAGAAACGTACCTTTTGGCGTATCAACCTTCAGGACAATATCTGGACATCGTTGAAGTGGGATGTCGTTCGGCGCTGTTTGGAAACCCATGGTACCTAGTAAGAAGATCGGCACTTCGCAAAGCAGCAAGAATAGTTACAAGGATACAATAAGGACACCAGTCAGCAGTCCATTCCTCTCAAACCCACGACATCACTTTTGGTAATTGTATCACAAAAATTTATCACCGCGCTAAGTCCGCGGTCCGAAGGCTTGGACCCTGAGGGTTGCGCCCCACTCAAGCTTCGCTCATGGCTGGCCGCTTTCGTCACAGGTCCTCGCAACACGACTGCCAGCACGATGGCCCAGCAACGAGGGCAAGCAATGGGAGACTCCCTCAAGACGGCACACTCCGTCAGCCTAAAGGTCTTGCGGTATGTTGGCACGTCCTCTATGCTGCTTCCGCACGGCGTCCTGTCGCAAAGCTGATCGTCGCATCATCTCATGACCGCCCACCTGACTTGTCTATCTATGCATATGCCATGGACATGCCAATAAACTGGGGACTCAGCGTATTGACGTCGTTTCCAGATTGTCTCGTCCATCTCTCGCGGTGCAGCACCCTCTCCCGAACTCCAAAGACCTAGGCATATCACCCAAGGCGTCGCTCGCGTACCCCACACCGAACGACACAAAAGACCAGTTCGTCCTCAGTCCCGTGTTAAACCTTCCTGAGGCGTTTGGTAGCGCCTACGTCGGCGAGACCTTCTCCTGCACTTTATGCGCGAACAATGAGCTCGATCCATCCGACAATACAAAGGCGATTAGTGGAGTGAGGATACAGGGCGATATGCAGACACCGTCAAATCCTGCAGGGTCGCCCCTAGATCTGTCTGGTCTAGAAGAAGAAGCAGAGAACGCGTCCCCAGGACCAGCGGAATCATTACAACGTATTCTACGATTTGAGCTTAAGGAAGAGGGCAACCATGTGTTGGCAGTGACTGTCACGTATACAGAGACCGCACTAGGAGAAGGAAGGGCAGCGAGCGGCAGAGTACGAACTTTTCGCAAGTTGTACCAGTTCGTGGCTCAACAGTTATTGAGTGTGCGCACCAAGGCTGGAGAGATTGGGCAGAAGAGTGGATCTTCTCGATACCTCCTGGAGGCACAACTGGAGAACATGGGCGAAGCTGCAGTCTGTTTAGAGGTACGTCGACGCGTTCTAAGTCTCACGATTCATGTGTTGGTACTATCATTTACTCCAAACAACGAGTCAGAGCGGCTCCTTTACGTTGAGGATTTCGGCTCCATCACTAGCTCGATCGCAGAGTCCGATCCGGCAGTCTTGTAGATCCGGCGCTATTTCGCTGCTTCAGATAGCCTACCACCACAGCCCTGCCCCTAGTAGGCATTGAACCACGACTGACTCCAAACAGGCAGTCAATGTAAACCCGAAACCACCCCTCAGATCTACGTCGCTTAATTGGGATATGCAAGCCTCAGGTATCAATGCGCCGATATTGAGCCCACGGGATGTGGTGCAAGTCGCGTTTCTTCTCGAACACCGGCCTAGCGACAAGGACGAAGAGATGGCTGGTTCCATGACGGAAGACAACAAAAGAGTGCTGGGTCAGCTTGCTATCCAATGGCGGAGCGCATTGGGCGACAGGGGCTCTCTCAGCACCGGATGGCTTACGGCTCGGCGCTGAGCGTGTCTTGTCCAATAGACTTTGCGTCGCGCTCTAACGTCGGTACGGTTTGTATATCTCCGACCGAAAGTTCTGACGCCCGTACCTGCAGTTCCAAGCGCTTGGTCTTGCATTGTCGATCTACCACGGTAGGTTTGCGTTGATTGAAGTCATTCGGAACCTGCTCCGTGCGCTGTGTCAACATGAATCGAGTAGCCCGGACTTCGTCGCCGAAGATTGAAAAGCAACCTCTTGACTATATTTACTCGCGTATGACTGTACCTCTGTCTACCACCGGCTATATCGAGGTCCATGTATGGATGCGTGGGGTTGCGGAGATTTCGATGGAAATTTGTAATGCCGAACATGCTCAGAACGCTGTCACACAGTCCATGGGTAAGTCCAACACAGACAGCCGGAATGCGGAGGAGGATCTCTTGGACGATCGACGTGTGGAGCGAACGCAAAAGCAAAGTCGACTTGGACAATCAAGGCATTGGATGCAGCTGGGGCCACGCGAACAATTCTCCTCAAAAAGCACGTCTAGTCTTACGGCATTGACCACTAGTGCGCCCAGCAGACCGAACAACAGAGCAGTCAGCTCTGAGGGAATCCGGAGAAATCGTTGGAATCAATGGCAAAGTTGGTGAAGCGCGGCAGAAGGAGCAAGGAGCCCCATGATTCCGGCCTAATAGCGCAGATGAATAGGCGACAGACACGGGAACATGTCATGACAGTCTGACGAACTACTCGAGGGTTGGGCGATCGTGGGGGAGTCATTTTATCTCGGTCAAATACGAGAGCGTGAGATGTTTGATCGTCGGCCCCCAGGAATGCAAGATACGCAGACGCCGAGTGATGGAAAGTAGAGCTCGTATGTATTGAGCAGCACAGACGAAGTATTTTGAGGTGGCTGCAGCTGTCAGATTACGTGGGAGAGCACAAGCAGTAACCGTTTGAGGAGCTTGTGTGTCGAAATCGGCAGCCGACCGCGGATCGACATGGCTATATGCTACATGCGTCTCTGGGCGGGCGTATGCAGCTCCAACACCGAAGACAAGATAGATACGGTGACATGTCCTGGTGGAACCGATGTGCACCGTTTTGTACAGTTAGGCAAGCAGAGTTGAAACGACAACGGTTTAGATGGTGGTCAGAGCATACGACGGCGGGCTGGCTAGAGCGTACCGCAGGTACCTGTATGCATCTATGTGCAGCAAGAGGTACCGTATGCTGTGGCATTGGCCTGACATATGACAGGTTCGGTGCATAGATAATGCTGGACGGGGTGGAGAGTGGGCGGCAGTTTGCAGGTCAGCGTGGGGCGGTCTATTTTCTTTGTCTCGGGAGGTTGAAGATGTGCAAGCACTGCGCAGAGTGTGGGGTCGCGTCCGGGACACGACAGGCAGGCCCCTATTCGTACCGCAAAGTTAATACCGTGTATGCGTGCTGTACGCTGAAGGTGAAACACATGCAAATTGCACGCACACCACCATGGCTGTGGGCGCAATAACCGTCGTGTTGGTGAAGGCCGTCGACGACCCCTGAACGCGCAATGCAGCGCGGCCAATCCGTCTTCGCCCAAAGCAGGCTGGGCTCAGGCCGTGCCTTCCCAAACCAAGCGGCGCCCCCTGGTCGTGCTTTCCGAAGACAGGGTCTAGCAGCGCGACATGGGACGACGGCACAGCGACGGGCGGAGACGCCTGTGCGTCGAGTGGAGCGACACGGCCACGCTGGGCGATGGAGGGCGTACCGTGGGACGCTGTGTCTACGCCAAACTCTGCGGGCAGATGAAGGTGCTGCGCGCGGGTGCCTTGCATGGACAGGCGCGCGTCGCCTCGCGGCCGGCCTCGCTGACAGGCTGCGCTGCGCGAGAGTGCAGCAGTCCGGTCCAGGCCGAGGGGCAGTCGAATGCTCAGCGCGGGAGCGGTTAAGCGCTAGACTGTCTTCCGCCAGCGATAAGAGTGCTTGTGGGTTAGCTGCTCGAACAGGCCGGAGTCTGTCCCTATGAATTGGCCTGTGACCGAGCGCAGCGCACTGAACCCTTCTCCGCCAACCCTCTCCCCATTCACTCTTTTCGCCCGCAAACCGCCGTCGCGACACCACCGAGCACCCTCGCTGTCTACTGTCTACTGTCTACCGTCCACTGTCTACACGCAGCGCCGCCCACCCGCCCCCGTGCAACCGCGCCCTCAGTCACCGTCGCACTCGCTCTGCCCTTCCCGTGCATAAGCCTCACCACCACCCGTTGCTGCGGACCCCCAGTCTCCAATGACCTAGAGTACAAGGCGACTCGACGTCCCACACGCCGTGACCGCGCAACCCCACGACGCTCTTTAATCGCCCATCTTTTTGGATATCCTATGCCCACCATCTAACATGGCGCCCGCTCCCTCGTCCACCGCCGAGCAGTCGTCCACCCCGCTCGCCGACTATTTCTTCATCTCCGGCATCGAGTCGTCGCAGGTCTACGACGAGCGCACCCAGAGCAATGGCATAGTCACCTCCCCGCTCGCCCAGCCCCCGGTCGATGAGACCATCGAAGAGGACCGCGCCCTCGAGACCGATTCGATCCGCCCAACCTCCCAGGATGGCCTCTCCAACGGCGACTCCACGCGCCGGCGCTCTGCGAATCGGTTCAGCGAGAACCGCCAGTCCAATTGCACCATCATTGGCCCAGATCCCAAGCAGACTGCGAGCAATCGGAGCAGCGCCACCATCAAGGGCGTACAGCTTGGCGGCTCCGGCCTCAGCGACCAGGACTTTGACATTGCACTGCGCAAGTTCGCTTCCGAGCGTGATACCTTTCTCGAGGAAATTCAGTTTACTGCTGGTGTTGCGCAACAGGCCCGCTCCACCCCCACGAGGCCGCGACCCAGGCCACAGCGCGTGTCACAAGCTAACAATGACGATGGCGTCGGCAACCTCAGGTCCGGCGTTGGCAGCATTCGACGGCGCATCTCCACAATGCAGAGCAGTCTGAAGCGCCAGTCGTCGACCGCAAGACAATGTAAGTTGCATTCCACACCATGTCCGACCAGGATCTGTGCAGGGCTGGGCCCTGGCCTCTGGCTTTGACATGGGTTATTTACTTTTTGATCGACGCATACTGACGTGCATGCAGCCTCAATCCGAACGTCGAAGCGCATGTCCGGGTACAATTCCGTCATACCGGCACCGCAGCCCTTCAACCCGGAGCCGGATATGCATCCTCTGCTACGCCGCTACGAGCCTGTTCTCCTAGATCGTTACCCGCCACGGAACATGGTCGAGGAACTCAAGAGGCGCAATCCCTTTCCCGACTACGTGCCCATGTTTGCATTTCCTAATGATGTTAGTGTCGTCTCATCTGACGAGCGCCCAAAGAGCCAATGGCATGGTTTCGCCATGACGAATGGAGATGGCTCCAAACTTTACGGCATCACCATCATCGTCTGGCTGCCTTTGAACGCCACCGCTGCAGAGGGCCTCGAGCGCCAATGTGAGGAATGGCGAAACTTGCACATGAATCCAGAGGAGCGCGAGCTGGCAAGCAGTTTGGGCGAGCGCCTAGCATTGGAGCGCGCAAAACTATCGCAACTACTGACCAAGCTTCCGTCTGTGGCCCCTGACTCGGAAGAGCGTGACGACTTGGACGACCAGATCGGAGCCGTTGAAGAGAAGATTCAACTCATGACCGACTTACTTCGTCCCGTAAGGCACGGTGCCGCCTCCAAGATCGAGGGACTGACTGACGGAGAGACCGGACTCTGGATCCCCCGTGCTTACGGTGTAATGGGTCGAGATGCGAGTTTGACGCCTTTCTGGAAAGAGTGGCTGAAGGCCGTTGTTGTCCCCATGACTACTGGCGCAATCCTTCGAGTCCCCGCCAGCTCACCGCGAGTTGGCATGTGGCAGCCGCTCGAGCGGTACGTGGTCAATCTCTGTGCAGAGGCTCTTAGTCCGATTACCTCCATCACGCAGGTTGAACTGGCAGTCCGTGAGCTTCGCATGTACGCCCGCAAAGAGGCAGTCAATGAGCTGCCTGGCTCCCGGAACATCGACATCTATGCCCTGTTCCGATGCATGTCCATCCCCAACATCATTACGCTATTCGAGTATGTGCTCTCGGAAGCTAGGATCATTCTCCTCTCCTCACACACGGCTATGCTGCATCTGGCCAGTATGGCGATAACGAACCTGCTGTATCCCTTCCAGTGGGCTGGTGTCTTCATTCCAGTCTTGCCTGCTCGTCTGGTGCAGACGATAGAAGCGCCATGCCCATACATCGTAGGAATCGAGCGTCGTTACGAGCCCGCCGATTACCCCGACGACGACTACGTGCTCGTCGACCTGGATGCTGATTCAATAGTCTCGAACGGTCCACCACCACCACCACTACCACGCCAACAGCGACGGAAACTCATGTCTCTCCTTCAACAATCTGCACCGCATCATATGCGCTACGGTGTACCTACTGGCCCTCCTGCTTATGCGGTAGAAGCCTTCCCATACGACACTTTCGCCTCCGAGAATCCTGGGGTATTCTCGTACAGAGCACATCCTTCGACTGTCCAGAACTACGTCGGGCTGAACTCGACGTCTTTTGGGACAATGGTCGGATCACCAAGCTCCAGACCTCTAATCTACAACGCCTTCTTACAGTCAAGTGCGTCCAGTCGTGGAAACGACCGTCCTTCCACAGCGACTACCATAAAGACATACCAATCTCCGCCTTCGCCCAAGGTTTCTCCTGTATCGACAGTCTTCCCACCCATGCCCAGTACTCCCATCTCGCGTAGCGATTCTGGCTACGCACTCCAGGCCAATCTGCGTGAGAAACGATCCGCTCACTTTGAGACCTCAAGTCGGCGAAGTTCATCGGTAAGTTTGCTCTACTCTGTACACTGTGATAGCTCATTGACTAATGTGGCTAGTTTGGTTTCGAACGTGTCCCTCAAATCCGGCGCCCCTCTCAGCCGTTCCTTGGCCATGCACCGAGTGCATCAACATCGTCTCTGAGCCATGAATACAAGGCGGGGTCCTCGTATGCGCCATCAGTGTATGCACAGTCAACTTTGGCTGCATCCACTATCATGCCTGGTATGGCTACGCATCAAGTGCGCAACACTGCAACAACACAATGGCAAGAAGGTCATTGCTTGCAGTGGAGACCGAACGAGGACAAAGCCATGTGTTCAATATGCGAGGAAAAGTCTGATGACGGGTTGTATCGTTGCACCGGTGAGTTTCAGATCCGCTTAGTGCAACTTACTTTTCTAACAATGTGTAGGATGTAGCACATACGCCCATGGTAGGTGCGTCGACTTGATCTGCATTGTCTGCCCCACAGCATTTCGACCTGATCAGGTGCGCGCATCGTTTGTACGATGCTTCGCTAGCCTGTTCTACACGTACAGACGCTATCTTGTACCAGCTAGTGGCGAGCGCAAGAAGTCTGGTATGACCTACCAATTCAAGATGGATGAATTTGTGAAGAGCCTGCCAGCCGAGAATGTGCAGTATATCGAAACGCTGCAGCAGACACAAGGTCAGTGTTGCTACTACAGTTTTAGCACCACATACTAACCTACAGTAGCTTTCAACGAATTTATCCATGAGCGTGAGAGCAAGTCTGCAGATGATCCTACCATCAAACTTTTTGATGAAGTCATCCTGGCAAAGCGAAACCGCGGAAAATCCTCATTCTTTTACAAGTCCAAGGTCGACTTCTTGTCCGACACAACAGACCATCTTTGGCGCACTGCGTCTGCGACTCCACCGAATTCTCGCTTCCCGGGTGACTATCGCTCTGTGATCAGCCGAAGTATGTCATCTACACTCCCTCAGCCAGACACTGCTAACAGAATCGCAGTCCCCGCGAAGCTCGATCCCACACTCATGAAAGAACCGCGTGTCATTCAAGGCGTGCCACGCGTCCCTCAAGGCAAAGCCCGCCGCAAGCCCATTCCATCCATGCTCGGGCCTAACGGCAACAGCCCGCCACAAATCCATACCTCATGATCTCTACACCAAAACATTACGCTCTCTATAACGACGAACCCGACCTCCATGCCTCTCCCTCCTTCGTCACAACCTCACATCTTTCCGTCTCATCATTGTACTACATGTAACATACCTAGCGACGGAGTTTTCGGCGCACCACGGCATTGCGAGTGGACCTCGATAGTCCGCTGGCCGGTGCTTGTTTCTCAGATTGGATATCTGATGGAAGGATAGAATGTCATCTCCGAAACCATCTTGCATTACATGGGGTGGTTTGGAAATGCTTTTTGCGCGGATCGATTTGGATTCCGACTCAGTGCGTATTCTCTCTCGGCTGTATACTGGGCGGCGCAAAAGAAGCATTTGGTCTTTATGCGAGTATACCTTTGTAATGCGTTTCCTGCCCTCTCGCCCCAGATTGGCATATTCTATTGGTTTTTACCTGCCACATGCAAGATGTTTTGGCAGCAAATGGCTAGGAAGCGGCGAGATTCTTTTGTATATCATTGCATTAAGCATAACATGAGCAGTGGAAGAAAGAATCCAACCAATGGACAAAGTTTACTACAGCATGGAATGCTGAACAAAAGTCATCCCTTAGAAAGTTCTTATCCCTCGAAACTCTGTTATCGCCCACGCGATTCGAAACAACGCGTACCACGTTTCTAGCACTGCCACAAGATGCAGGAACCCGTCCAATCACGCACGTGTTTCTATTCTTGCTGTTCCTGACTAGTGTTTTAGCGCACCCCCTCTGGGGCAAGCGTCGCTAAGCTTGGCAAGCGTCCGCGTGTGCCGAGCCCCTTGCCTTGGGGATCAGGTCGAGACTCATAGAGCCGCTCTGCTCTTCTTTCTCTCTCCATCAACAGTCTTCGTTGTACAGTCATTCTTTTAGAACCGGTCTCTTACAGTCACTCTTTAGACTACACTATCGTTAATACAAAGTCGCCGTTTCTACCACGTCTTCGTTCACCTTTTCAACCAACCAACACTCCCACTTCAACCGCAACTATGCTCGGACGTACCGTTTTCGCCGCGACTTTCTTCGCGCTCGCTCAGTTCGCCATGGCTAGCCCCCCTGGCTGCCTCCTCGGCGCTGTCAACCAGTACGAGGACCCGTCCGACATCAAGGCTGTCTGCAAGTCCAAGGACCTGAGCTCAAAGGTTGCGGAGCTTTGCGGCAACGACGCCGAGGCTGCCATGGAGGCGATTGCGGACATTTGCAACGACGTGGATGTTGATGTTTGTAAGTACAGCCTTTAGAAGCGGATGCGCTGTTACACACCGGACGAGAAGATCAAGCACAGCAAACTCTACCTTCCATGATCGCATGCTGACAGGACATGTAATAGCGACTGCGATCTCCTCCGCCTCCGGCTCAAAGACCGCTACCGGTTCATCCCACAAGCCCACCGGCACCTCTGGCTCTACCCTCGTCTCCATGTACCCTACCGGCTCGAGCGGACAAGGAAGCAGCAACGGCACTGTCCCCGCTGCCACTGGAGGACCCAAGCCTTCTGGCAGCGCGACTGGCTCTGGCGGTCTCCCCGAGGCCACCGGTGCTGCTGGCAAGGTCGAGTTCAGCCTTGCCGCTGTTGTTGCTAGTTTAATAGTCGCTGCTTTGTAGATAGGAGAATGATACATCGTGCGAGGGAGATAGTGCGCAGATATGGAATAGATAAGGAACACTGGGCTGTTTATCGAAAATGGAATAGAGGCGTAATTGCATAAAACGGAAGAATGCTGCACATTGTGCTACTCAAAGTCATTTTCCTCGTGCGTTACTTCTGCTTGGTGCATATGCAGCATGCGATGCTTCGAATCTTACTAAACTTTCGACATTAAAGGATGAACGCAAACTCGCTCTACCTAGCAAGCCACAACAACAATCTACATGGGGCTATTCTCCTACTGCAATTTTACCCGGAAGCGTTGAACTCAGTAGTAGCGATTCTAGACCACAGCCAACGATGCCCGATATCCGGGGGGCGCGGTTATACGGCCACCATGAACAGTTTCCACCACTTTCTCTAACAATAGCCATTACCTAACTGCATGGTCATATGTTAGGACCCAGATAATGCGCGCATTGCTACCGAGTTCATGCTATCAGGCGTTTCACGAAGCCGCTTTCTGCTGTGGGTACTAAACAGAGAAAGTAGATGTGTGTGAACCGCTGGCTACGTGCCCCGCCTCAACCCCCCACCTTCCTTTGAGTCATATCTTGCGCCATGGAACCTCATTTCAAGCATGATGCTACTGGAGACTCCAATTATCCATACCCAAACTCTCTACATGGATTATCTTTACTGCTAATATAAACCGTCATTTTTTTGGCTTAGTCATACATCAGATACAACCCGTATCTTTCCGGCAGAATGGCCGAGCGGTCTAAGGCGCTAGCTTCAGGTGCTAGTAGAGCAATCTGCGTGGGTTCGAGTACGTTCCCAACAATTAAGACGTTTCGTCAGACACTAATAGTAGTATAGATCCCACTTCTGTCAATATCTTCTCTTTTTGCTCTTTTAGACAACTCGAGTTTACAAGGAGTTAATGCTTTTTTTTGACAAGCTCGTAGCATACGAGCTGCAAGACTGCGCTATGATTGAGTAGACTATAGAACAATAAACAACGTTGCGTTTCTGTGTGCGCTTTACGGTGCTAACAAGCTCCTGCGTATAAGCCTTGTTATCTTCACTTAACAGCAACTACTCTACCTAGCCTTTTTCTAGTCCGCAGATAGTTTTTTAATCTACATGTTAGAGATACGCTGTATATACAGTAAAGCATGAATTCAAACATAGATAGCTACATGTACAGATCTGTAGCTCTAAGCATAGTAGAGTATACGCGCAGAATATAATACCTAGGTAACAGATGTGTAAAAAAGAACACGGAGAAGTAGACAATCAAGTATTGTTCATACGCGTTTGCACAGAGTACATGATTTTCGCTATCCCCCAAAAAGAAACTTCATGTGAATTACCCTGCATTTTAGCCAAACAACCACATCGCTTTCTTAAAGTACGTCTTTCCGGTTCTGTGGCGCCTTCCATGCGGTCATCAGCTCTACGACTACCGCCGACCTGCGCTCAGAGAAGCCTAGAAGTTCGGCAAATCCATTCGCTTCTCTTAACTCCAGCGCCCTTAGCAGGTCCTCGTGCCTGTAGGATACCCTGTGCGCGTTGCGATGTACACTAGCATTATAATTAGTGACGATATAGTTCCGAGCATTCCGCCGCACATTCGCGTTGGACTTCGAGTGGGTGTGCAATCTCAGTGACAGCAACAGTATATTATACTTGCGATTTCTCTCATTCGGCAACACCATGCGCGCATCACATGCGCACCCATATAAACCCGCCAAAAGCAAGACTGGCATAACGCCGGTCGCGTTGGTGGCATTCGAATCTGCAAATACTGCTTTAGTAAACCTCCAGGCTCGATAGATGTTTCATAGTCGGCGCTTAGAGGTTTGTTGATGGCCGTCCTTTTGGTCTAGTGAGGTTGAATCACGAGTGCGAACGCAACTGCACACGCATATTACTGCACTCGGATCAGCTCTGTTGTCCTTAGGCGGAAGATCCCCATCAAATGCGCATCTCTCGCGCAGTGCTATCTCTTACTTTTTGATCCTGGAGAGGGAATCACGGAAGTCTGCAGCAGGGAAATCGCATTTGCGCCGTTCCGCTTAGCGCCGACACCGAACTCATCGTAAACATTGGCTTAATATTTGGGGGAGGTGCAAATGGCTGCGCGCGAGTAAAGATGCCTTTGGTAGAACTAACGTCCATTGGGTATCCAACAACGAACCGCTAGTGCTTTCCTCGCACAGCCACCGTTATCAGATGTAGTATATTCGAATTGTGCGTTCGCGTATCAATCCGCTCTAGCATCTTGATAACCCCCATCGTCATACAATAGACGACCACAGTTCCATCAACTAGCTCATAAATGAATTCGATAGGTCTGTAGGTTTTTCGGGGTGTAGTCCCGCGACCCTGCGATTCGATCATGACATGTGAACCCGCTTTCTCGAAATGTTGCGACGAGCTGGTAGGGTACGAAGGATATTCAGCTCGACGCCAGGACCTCATTCCAGTGGTGCTGTGATTCATAATGGCTGCTGGCAAGTTTGGTTGTGCAAATTTGCCTATCTCGAGGTCCGCCGTTCACGCATCCCAGAGTGTTGTGACCTTGTGCCTTCTTCGTGATTTCATCTCGCTCCTTCTCTTCCTCGATAGAGTTCTCTCGGAAGTCATGTTCCGGTGCTTATGGCAGGCATTGGGTTACAAATCCGCTCGCGGAGCGGCTCCTGCACATTGAGTGCGTCTCGCAGGTCTCGACTTCCAGGAAACCTGTGTTGTGACTTGTCCGCGATGCAACCGTTTGCTTATCCTGTCCGTGAAGCTGGTTCCGTTCCACTGTTGATGGGCGCGGAAGTGTCCTCCTGACTGCTATACATAGGTACCTTCCCGTACCCTACTGTTGTGCCGTAATCGGTTCAGCTGTGATAGGCTCAACGCTGGTGCTCCTCGTCAATCATAAGTCCATCATTGAGTTCTGACCAGTGTCAGACCAGAGCCATTTTCATCTTTGGACTCTCTTGTGCGTGTGCCCAGCATATTTTTCCTCCATGTCGTTGGGTCTCCAATCGTATCGTAGTGGAGTAGGAAGTTTCGTTCATGGAGGTAACATGGAAGCCCTCTGGTATTGGAAAGCAGTACCATCTCTTTCTTTCCAAACAGTCTGGGACTCCCTCTTTAAAAGGTTGTTCCCTCTCCCCTCTCTTTCTCTTTCGTATCATCATCATCAGATCGAGCCATCCCAAATACCAAAAGCTTCCTGATCTTTACCATCATTACCCATCATTCCACTGTCATTTGAAGGCCGCAGTACGCCCTCACCACAACTCATCATTTCCCATCACACCACCGTCATCATGATGATGAAGACATACACTGCCGGCGCCAAAAACCAGGAATCCAGATTCTTGCAAGATTGGAGGCAACCAAACA